TAAATAGATGTTGACACCATGTGTAATATTTTTTTTATAAATACCACATCAATATACAGAGTATTCTAAAGCAATTCTTTCTTAGCATTCCCGTCTAGCTCCACCTTCCCCTATATTAAACTCTATTTTTTCGTAGATTCTAAATTTCAGTGATATTCGGTGACTTTCAGTGATCGAACAAGACTTAATACATGATCCTTCCAAACGCGTTTATGATTCCAATACAAGACCACTATATAATTTCACGTTCTAGACATCGGCAAAAATTCCTCGACAGTGACGTACGAAAATAAGAGTTTCCATATCGAAAATAATTACTCTACGGAGATCATACCCCGGAACCGTGGATACGAATAAACTGAAAATTTCTCCACGAGCCGATTACCAAGAGCGTTCAAGGAACGATTTTTCGCAAGCGGAAAAATCCGTTGCAATCGTTCGATCCGACAGAATTCCCTCTGTACACACTCTCGCCGGTTATTGAAAATTTGTTCCATTGTAAAGCGCATTTCGCTCGGTCGCCAAGGGGCATTTTTCCCAATCCGTATCATAAATACCCATGAAACGATCCAACGAATCGAATCGATCGATCGTTCGAGATTTCCCGTTGATATTCCCGGTGACCGACGAGTACATGGACAATGCATATGTTTTTTTTTTGCAAATTACACGTACGAGAGCCCAGGATGTGCTCACGTGTTACGGTCGCAATTAGTGCGATAATTAAACGACCATAATGACACGCGGGAAAACCGGCTATAAAAGTCGAATGGAACTGGCAGCCGCTGGTGGCTGCGTAAAACAGTTCCCAGGCTGTCGAACCGGTCCGTGGGCGTATTATTTGCATCGACGCTTATTAACTTTTCCCTTTGAAAATGCCGCCGGGTAGAGCTGCTGCTCTTCCCTCCCTACCATCCCCGAACGTATTTTTCTTCCAGTTTCGCCGGGAAAAGAATCCCTAAGGCGATTCCCGGCGTTTTCGCGAACAGATATCGAGCATAAACGCGGTTAGAGGGAAGCTCTTGTGGAAAATCAACTCCCGTTCGACCTCTGAACGAAAATATTGGCTCGTTTAAGCGGGAAATTTTCGTTGAAACGACGAGAGAGGGGGGCGACCTACGGTGCGATTTTAAGTGAAAAGGAATTTGAATAATCGTCCGTCAGCTTCTTCGTAAACTTATTTACGTTCGCCTTTTCCAGACTCATTAGTACTATCGGGATCTCTACCGCCTGTGAAACAACAGAGGGAAACTTCGAAAGAAATCTGATTATACGAAACGTGTGTCGTTTTATTGCGATTTAGGGAACACTAAGTTTTTATGTTACTATTTGGGAGTTTCTATTTATTTACTGCTAAGTTGTCTCGAATTGTTTTATCATATTGTAAATATATAGAGTGAGACATACAAGTATTCCTGTAATTCAATTCTACGATATAATTAATTTTGGTGCCCCTGATTTATCATTACTTGTGACTATGTGTTCCTACGTATAATCTATGAAGACTTATTTGAGAATATTTAATAATAAATAATGAAACTTATATTTGTAAATTCGCAAAAAAAAAACTCATGTCACTTGGTCCAATTTTAAAAAAATTGTTCCGTTTTGAAGGGTGTGCGGAGACTTTTTTTACTTGGCTATACACTTCTGTATGAACGTAACTGTGTTAGTTAAAATAAAACTATTTTAATAGTGAACTGTGTTATTCCATAACAGAAAGCGTCTCAATACTCTTTAGTTCCTCCAGATGCGAAAATGAATTTTAGTGACGTCCTTTGACATTTCATAATTTAGTATTGTAGTAATAAGTTTCTGTCGGTATCTCGAACTAAAATATTTAGCTTCCGCTTCTGCTCGCTATTACCGTTCTCTTAGCGCGTTTAACTGGCCTTATAATTACTTTCTTTCCTCTCCTGGCTTATCGTTAAGCAATTATCGTGTATCAAAGTTGCTCGTAGTCAAAGAACAATCATAAAAGATAGAAAATAGTTGTTCAAGGTATTCAAATATTTATATCCTGGAGAATATTCTGTCGTGGAAACTCGTTGAGAAGATTTTCCGTCTGCATTCATAAATTTTTAATCACTTACACATACACATTGCGTGGCATAACTATAAAATCACCCTACAAATTTTCATCCTTGTATATTGTGCTTGAAGTAAAAACAAACCACTTTTTTCTACGGAATATAATCTATTATTTTCTGAAGGAACATTATTTCTCAACTCGATCTCAGACATAGCATACTTACTTCGTTTCTATTTGAATCATAATACAGAAGAATTGAAACTGTTAGAGTGGTTTCATAGTTACGTCACGCAGTATACACAGCTGTCCAGTAAAACAGTACTGAAAATTAACAAATTATAGCCAGCTGTCGAGTCTCTGTAATTCTCGATCGGTCTATGTAAACGGCAAATATTACTAAAATGCGATGCATAATGCATCCCGCGATGCCCGCCGATTACCATAATAATTGGAACTCTTTAATTATGCGAATAGAAATGGCGGGAAATTCAAACTGCCCGAGCACCTGTACCTACCATTCTCCCATGATTCCGCGACAAGGGATCGAGTCTACGAAATAAACTTTCATTTTAACAGAGAAAAAAAGAAAAAACAAGAAAGAAAAATTTCACGATACATTGTCGCGCGAATTACCAACGACACTGAAACGTTTCATCGATCCGCTCGACCGAGGACGAATATTATTTTAATAAAACGCGTGTATCGTCGTTCACCAAAGTGGTGTCCAGGGCTAATCATTGGAAATTTACGATCGCACAAGGAGCGAAAATGGAAAACCGGATGGAGAATGAATTTTACAGGAAATGTTCCTCCAGACGATCCAAAGTACAGAGGACAAGAGACACAGAGAGAGAAAGAAAGAGAAAGAAAGAGAGAGAGGGGGGTGGTCGGTGGCCGGAACGTTTCGTCGAGCAATTTAATCGATGATGAATGTCATTTTAACTTCTTCTACGGCGCCGAGATTGAATTAGGTGGGTCGAGCACAGTATCAATGCCTAACGGTGCGTTTACGTGATAAATGATAACGTTCTTTAGATGGCCGCCACCCCTGCAGAGACGGCTCTTCCCGTGATTTTACGAGAATCTCCAATATCGTGCCTCCCCCTCCCCCTTCCTTCTGCCATGGCGTAATATCGTTTCTTATGAGCCGTATTTTATCGGGAAATAATGGAAAGTACGTAGGTAAGTCCGTGTACTTAATGTCGATATTTGAACGCCTCTACTCCCCGATTGCTGGCAAAGATTTAAGGGTTGCACGCTTTGCAGCTGTGAAAAATTCGATTTTGGTCCTGTCGATAGAAGGGTGCTTACTGTGTATATGCTCGTCAGAAAGTGATGGACCTATGCGTTTTCTTGTGGTGGTCATTTAAGCAATGTAAAATTACATTTGATCATTAACCTCTGCAGGGACAAATTATTAAGACCGCAAAGAAACAATTTTTTTCTTCATGTACAGCAGTATCTATTTGAAATAGATTTATGAATATTAATGACAATCAATTGGTAGGTTATCCTTCTTTTTTTTTCTGTTAAGGAATTTTGGAGTTAATGTTTATTCACAATAATGTTCACTGTATCTTTGGAATGATGATTGAATGAAAGAGAAACTAAACGTAGATATATACGCCAGTATCTCTCGAGAAGTTAAAATAGAAGTTTCAAGAAGCTCGTGGTTTTGATGTTGTAATGGTTAATAATGTGGAGATCACAAAAATTTGTATTTCGAGACGGGTGGAAGGACTATGCGACCGCACTTGTGGACAATTGTCACAAAATTCAGGATATTCTAAGGATGCTAAGCCTGATATGGGTTCGGATGTTCGAAAGTCCCTCTGAAATGCAAATTTCGGGGGGCAGTAACTAATGCTCGGGTCAAGACGCTTTTGGCCAAGTTGGCCATTGTTAGACATGTATTCCACTTTATGTTTCGTGGGGGGGGGGGTCTGTATCCGAGATTGTTACCCCACGGAATATAGTAACAAATTCTCGTTAACCCTACGTTGTCAGACCTCCTTTTTCAAACATAGTTCTCACACTGGGTCAATTTCACCTATATCTATATCTGTTAAATTAAGTCGCAAAAAATTCTAAGATGAAGTTGGAACATTGAACATAATATTTTCATCATCAAAAATTAATAGTGGTCGTGTTTAAAAAAATTCTCGAAAAAAATAATTCTGAAGAAGTTTTTTTTTAGAATTCCAGAAATTACTACTGCATGACGCCAAGAGTATCTCATTTTTAATGATGTCTCAGAGATATTTTACTTCAAAGTCATATTCTTGGTCAATTTGACTTAGTGTGACAACGGATGGTTAAACTGTCAGGTAATTATTTAAAATAATTATTGTGAATACCCCGGAATCTAAAGCCGACAGTAACATGTATAGAAAAAAGTTGTTTAAAATGACGACCTTGGCAATATATTTCAAGCTCACTGAAATCGTTAAGGAAATCAAACTTCTAAAAAATTACCAACTAACAAACTCGGACGACAGAGATGCAACAGTACTTCTATTGCATTACGCTATCCGTGCCTCCTTTTCGATTCACGTTCGTAATCCGTCACAAGGAATGACGAAACTCCCTAATAAGTTTCGGGCACTTAATCTTCTTACTCCATAAAGCATATTAAATAACCCTCCTACGCCTAGCTGAACTCCCGAATCCCAGCTAGCTTTCTTCTCTGATCGTATAGGTCCGTCAAAAGAAGTGAAAGTACCCCCGTAAACGCGTCACGGACGAGAACGATAATGTTTATTCGTCAGGGAGCATGTTAACAGCTCCCATTCGACGGAGCTGAACGGTCCCATTCAGGATCTCCGCCCTTCTTATCGCAATGTAAGCTCTCCCACCCCCCCTTCACGCATTCACGTTGCTTTAGACTCCCTGGTAAAGGCGAACCTACACGGGATAATAGTCCTGGACGTCAGGTCCAGTTCTCAGCGGATTTTCGTGTTGTACTTACAGGTACGAGTTCTCCTGATCCCAAGAAACTATCTCGGTGACGACGAAATAGCCGGAAGTTAGCGCGGCGCGTACCGGCTTGCCCGATGATGCATTCGTAATTGCAACTACATGCCGCCAGTGGCTGCCGTTCCGTTGTTTCTCGGGCAGAATCGTCAGGAACGAATTCCCGTCGTCGCTGAACACCGGCGGCTCGAACTGCTCGACCCATCCGTGTTCCTCGAAGTACGACAGAGCCTGGAAAGATGAATATTTCATTTCGGTTGAGGCGTGCTCTCTCTCGGGTCAGGGAAGGGTAGGTAATCATTCTTGGTGGCGAAAAATTGTACGTCCAGTACCTCGAGGGGATCTATCGGATAACGATATCATTCCCTGGTTCGTGGTCGATCTATCTATCCACTTTGATCAGAGAACGATCAAATTTTCTTCGAATCGAATTGGTTATTTAAAAGAGAACCAGATAGATTGACCCTCGTTACTGGAAACTATGCTACCCAAGGACTTTCCAGCTAGACCTGACTGAATAATTAACGGGTTAACCCACCTTGAAAATCATAGAAACATTTTTGTGTATTTTATCTGGGAATAATATACCAAATTCCCAGACAAAATCCCCTAAATCCATTTCCCTTAGGAAATGGTTGTACGTGTCTTTCACGGGCGATAAAATGACACTTGGATTTTAATGAAACACCCTCGGTTGGATCGCCGTCATTTCTCATCCGTGTAAAAAATCTGCGAAGCTCGCAGACACCCAGGGGGGTGAATCCTGGGAGTTATCGATGCCATCTTGTCAAAGCTGGAAATTAGCTGGCGGGAAAATGGTCTGGGGCTGGGCCAGTGAGCTTGGGGGTTGGATATATGTGTACGTACGTTCGTGCAATTCGGTACGGGACCGTCGACGTAACAGAAATGGAAGTACGCCCTGTTCTGTACTCTGTTCATCCAGGTCGCGTACACGAGATTGTCCGTAGGAAAAGCGACGGCTGATAAAATCCGCTCCGTGGAGGATAACTCGGCCGGATGTTCGATTTCAGTTAAGCTCACGTTACCTTCGACCACCCTCTCCAAGTCGACGTAAAACAGCTTCACCGTGGGATTGGTTGTGCCGCTCTGAAACAGGGAAGAACAAGAGGGATGGTTTCAGGGAGGTCATCGATCGACGGCGATGTCTTCATTAATAGAGGGGAACAATGCGTTCGTGTTTTGGATCGCACGACGGGCCGTATCGTTAGATATTGTTCCGTGTACTCTCTATTGAATCCCGTACAAGTGAGAATTTGTGATCTTTGGAAAGTTATTTCCATTAATTTCTTGCTACGTAAAGCTGAACATTGAAACATACGATGAGTAAATAAAATCAGTATCAAAAAACGTGTTAATGAATTATTTTACGTTAATAGTACTTGGAACCTAATAGTATCTTTAATACGGTAGGTACATTTCCTTTCCATTCTACTACCTGTAAATTAATTCCGAAAGATCGATGATACTTGCATAAATATTCAGTCTAATTATGAACATACTATAAATTTCATAAACTACATTGGATTCATTAACTCCTAGACGTTTTTTTAACTCTGCTGGAAATATTAAATATTCATTAGATACGACGTGCTTGACTTATAAAAAAAGCATGTATTTCAAACATTCGAGGTGTGAAATATTAAACAGCTCAGTAGCAATAATTCCTTTCTATAGTTAATGGTACCCTTCCCCCCCACCCCCACACCCTTGCAACACACGCACGGTTTCCAACGCGACTTATAAACTGCGATTATATTATCACTGATATATAAAAGGATCGTTACTCGTCGGTCGCGATATCAAAGAACAAAAGGTATAAATTCAGTCCGTGCCCGAGCTATACTTCTCCATTCACCGCGCACACAGACGTAAATTTAATCAGAACGTCATATCAAATTTTAATTAGTCCGTCGGTAATTAGTTCCCCCACCCTGAGTGGGAATCCATCTGCGATCACCCCGTTTCACGTGGATCGAGGGGGGACGTGCTGTCACAGTGTCATCGTACGGTAGAAAATCGAGCGATTTTTCCGGCCAATAATTCTGCATGATTCAGTAGAAGATATTGTTTCGAGTTCTTGTGAATCGTGCTCTGGGATTGTCGGTTGATAGATCTCGAACGATCGTGGAAATTAAAGCGATCACACACATATGTACACATCATTTATACAGGGTGGTCCACCTAACTATATCACCAGGAATACCTCGCTTGTTTTTGATAACATTAAAAAATGTTTCAGATACAAGTCGAATGGTTTCAAGAAGGGCATATTTTGACGTGATTAGTTTTTCCGTGGGTGAACGCGTAGAGGACATCTGAAGGTCAGAAATCATGTATTTTTTAATGCATTAACGTGGAAATTTTGATAATGTAATTTAGTTTACTCCAAGGGGGCATTGAACAAAAAAGAAAACTTTGAAAAGGGGGTGGTGAGCTAAAAAGATTCGGAAACTATAATATGCCCGTATCCGATTGTTTCAACCGCAGATATTGAAAAGGTCCCATGACATACGCGAGTGTGACGTCTCGTAAAATCGGCCAGGCGACCGACTGAATTCACGCGGCTCGTACTTTTTTATGGAGACCATCCCCGGCTCGATTTTGCGTGTAACAGCTTAATAGAGGTCCGTGGCCGATCGAGAAGGTGTTCCCGAATGGGATTTCGGACGTTTCCCGCGACAAAGGAATTCGATTTATAGCGGTTTTAAGGGGACAATATTTCCCCTCGGACCGGGCCATATTGGTGGTTCACCGCAAATCAACAGGACCCACGGGCGCAGGAGAGTTGAAAAATGTACATATATACGTTCATATACATATACATATATGTACAGGGGAACGGCGAAAATAACGGCGGGCAAGAAAAATGGTACGGGCGACTTTTCGCAAAAACGAAACGGCACTTTACATCGGATGCTGCTGCAGAGCAAACAAACAAATGAAAAGAAAAGAACCCGCATCGTCGGGGGAAGGGGAGAAAAAAGACGGCGACGAGAAAAAAGAAATAGAAGCTTCCCGTATTACGTTTGGGGCTGAGACGAGTGGATGCGTTCGGAATTTATTATGGGGGTGAGAGATCTCGAATCTAGTCCGGTGGTTCTGAAATCTCGAACATTGGAAACTACGGGATCTCCCAAATGATTCCCGACCATTCGGACGGCGGAACATTCGGCGTTCGAGAAGAAAAAAAAAGCGGAACTGGAATTAACTTTTAAATGAATGATATAAGGGAGGAGGAAGTTATTTGGTGGTCAGAAATTAAATCGAAAATGTAGTACAGTAAATCCTCGATGAGTGTTCGAGGCACTGACAAGGAAAGATCTCCAGGTATAACGATAACTTTTTAACGAGGTTCAGCGCAGTGATAGAGCTTGGAATTCTCGAACTGAACTGACTTGAATTCTGAAATATTTGTTTCAGCCGTATATTAGTTTCTGAAATATTTAATGTTCAGTGCAGAGGAAGCCTTCGAACACTCATCGAGGATATAGTGGAACGTTGTTTGTTTCTTTTAGACAACCAGGACGGACGCAATCAATGCGCCCAATAGGACATGTTTTTCGCGAAATGACGCGCCTATTTATAACGCCTATAATTGTTAATAAAATGTCTTACAAAAATTTTCATTTCCACTTTAAACATATATAAAGATATACGCCAAACTAGTGCTTGCTAGGTGTGATGGTTCCCTTTAAATTAATTCCCAAAAATTACGTTGAAAACAGTCGTCTACACTAGAATAATTCCTTAACTATTAAACCAATTTCGATTTCTCTTAAACACGAAGCTGCCATGTAAAAAGAACTGTCATCAAGAAATAAATAAGCGATCGATTAAAGACGAGTTTACAAATAACAAGCTAGTTGAAGCCTACTTAAAATCGTGCCCCAGAAGCAGAGAAATACGTCGAACGCAACGAAAACGGTGAATAGGAAGTTGCTCGACGCGATTTTACACATTGCTGGAATGTCAAAAGAAATTCGAAGGTGGAGGGTCGGAGGGGCATAGAGTAAGTTGAAGAAACATCGTTCGCGAAACGCTCGCTACGTTCTAATGCAACTGGGTGTTCGCCAATACAAAGACCACGGGAACGATATCGACGAGAGAAACTGTGTCCCCCCGCAATTGTATTGGAAAAACCGGAAATTTCCATCTTCCCCGGATGTTCTTCAGGATAGTTTCTTTCTCTCCGGCGTTTGTCAGCCAGGTCCCTTTATCTGCTCGGTCGATTCCTTTCTGTTTTTTCTTTTTTTTTTTTGGTCTGCCTCCTTTCCCCCTTTCGATGTGGATTTTCTGTGATCTTCAAAAGGAACTTTTGTCCCCTCCCCCACCCCCCGTAGATTTTATATTCGCAGCTAGGGAAGGTCACTTTGTCCGCCGCCAAATGAGTTTTTCTCCGGGAACACAGAAAGGGAAATTACCGAACAGAGAAGAAAATGTGTCCGTTGAACTTATTATCCAGTCATGTTATCGACTTCTAACCGTTTCTCGAAATCGTTCTGTTCTTCATTCGACAGAAATTGAACAGAGGGAGAGAGACACATAGAACGACAATGCGCGTTCGGAACAAAATTCATAGTTTTAAATTAAACCATTTTCGATTTGGGATGCATCGATGGATGAGAAAAACATGTAATTTCATTTAAAAAAGGTAAGGTGATATCAATTTTTTAGTAAATAAAAAAGTTTTTTGCTCATTCTTTCGATTGCAATTTTGTGTTACATGGTTACTGACTAATTTTTATTTGAAAATCTTTTTTATCATATTATCGGAAATGCGAGAAAAATCTCAACGATTCAAAGTACAAGATATTTGAATCGATATCTTTTTGTAATGTATCTGGTTCAGCGGTATTAAGTATTCTAATAAATCATTATTTAATTTAATCTTTGCTATACATTGATTACCTCGATTTTTACAGATTTCTGTGTAACACACGAGACCTCAAAACATTCGCTGTAAGTCAATGTATCTACAAACCACCAAAAAAACTAACTAGCGAAAATTTTCGCAAAGAAAGAATAATATAGAATTAAAGTATATGTATATAATTTAAAGTGATTATAAAAAAATTGGAGATACATTTTTTGACATATCTAAGAAAACCTTCACCAAAAATCCATTCGAAAATATACTTATATCTTCTATAATTCAGACACTATCCTATAAAAAAAGACGTACCCATTTTATTTCTATAATAGCGTTGAATGACCTTTTAAAAAAGAACTTCAGTTGCAACTGAACCACAAAGTATAAAACAGAAAATTGTAGGTATATGAAACTATTTTCGACCATGTCTTCCGTCTTCATCTAACTGTTGACTATTACAACTTTAAATTGTTTCTTAACATTTCCATAGCGGACAAAAGTCTTACTAATACTTGTTCATAGAAAAAACTTCTACAATAAAAAAATTTTTTTTTTTTTAAATTTTGCACGTAGATCGTTACACCAATCGAGGGGATTTAATGCTCACGATCTTTACCGTAGGTAAATAATTTCTCGACTGTCACAGGAAGAGGGGGGTGAATTGGCATTCTTGATTCTATTCTGGCATCGCTATAAAAAAGAGAGCCGCGGAGGTCCGAATTTTGGGCTTCCGTCCAAAGTGGCGAGCCCCCCTAGGGGCTTAAATTCTCTGGACATTCTTAGTCGAACCTCCTCCGGTCGTCGATAATCCTCGTAACGATCCGCGACCTTTCTTGACCATTTCTCGACCGTTCCATGATTCCTCTCGAACGGATTTTCTTGCTTTCCTATCACTTCTCGACCACTTTTCTTTCGTCGTATCTCTTGAATCTGATTCTTGAATTTCTCCTCGTATGAATTTTATCGAGAAACGGCATCTCGGGGCGAACAATAATAAGAATCCTCCAAAGGGTAGGATCCAATTTCGACAGTTTCAGGTCTGGTAACATCACCGCGATTAGAGAGAATCGTTTTGTAGGATCGATCTACGATAAGGGAAACGTCGATTCGTTCGTTCAGTTCGTTCGACTGGCAAAGAGGTTTCTCGAGAGGGCCCCATCGCGTTTGCAGGTCCACTGAACGCGAATGGAAAATATTAACCGCGATATCCACGGCCGCGGCGCTGAGTTAAATGGGGGAGGCCGATGTTATTCATCGACGGGGACTGGTCTGCTTCTGTCGAGCAAGCTTTTTTTTTTCGCCCGGGTAATATTTGCTCCTAGCCGTGTACAGCGACATCAATCGACGCTCGTAAAAAGCCATTAAAAAATGCACGCAGGCGCCTGGACGCGTCCACGCGTTCCCCTCTTCAACCTTTTCATCACCTACTCGTGACAGCGAGACGAGGGTGTAAACGACAAGGAACTTCGGAAACGTACAGTGGGTCATTTCACGCGAAATTGGACACTTTGTGGGGTAATATTTCGGATTTCGTTGACACTTGGATAGGGTGAGTGATCAAATTGTTATGAACAGATGGAAAAATTATGTATTTTATGTATTCGGTGTTATTGCAATTTCAATAATAATGAAGTATAACCTGTCGTGGTTTTTTTTAATAAATAGATATACAATTTAACTATATTTTGGTTTGTTTAGTAGTCAGTGTACAGTAAGACGTATATTTGAACAATAACAGGTTAGCAAATTGTGCTACCGTTGATAATTCGTGAGTATAACTTGTTACGAAAATTCATATATATATTTTTTGTGAAATTATAATCGTTATTATATGTCAGTAAAAACATAACATATTAACGATGTATTTTCAATCCCGTTCATGATCAAACTACAATGAGTGGTACTTGGAAGTACAGATAATAATTTAATCACTCATTGTATATTGTAAAAATATGGCCAAGTTTGAAGTGTTCTTAATTTTTAAAATATGATCATAAAAGGGATAAGTAGGACTATAGCCTCACTTTTTTCGAAATTGTTCAATTAGGTCTTACTATTATGAAATTGTATTTCGTTAAAACAATTGCAAAATAAATGGTTCAACAATATTTTCTTCTAATTGAAATAATTTTTATTAGGTACTGTTATGTTTCCACTGTAAGCACCACAAAGCTCATTTTAATAAGTTTCTTAGTTCAACAGTTATGATTTACTGACAAAAGGTTGACTGTATATTTCAAACAGCTGTAGAATCAACAGTTACTAAAATTTTCAAAAATCCTTCGAGACACGTTTATACATCACTAAAGACATAGCCAACTAAGTGATATCCAAATTTGAGCAAAAACTGATATGTTACTGCAAAAAGTGTCGGATTTCGCGTGGAATATCCCCCCTCGAATTCCTCGATGTTCTGAGAGTACACAGACTCCACTCTGATAAATATTTCCCCCAGCGAATTATTTATGTAAATTCATATTTTTAAACGGAGAAGATGCGAAGAGCGGACGCAGCCAAGAAACTGGGTTTCCTTATTAAGTACTTCATTAAATTCGGAAGGCTTGCTGAACATTTTCTGAAATTTTATTGCAATAGTGATTTCACGTCGAGGTAATTTTTCATTTACATTTAACTTTCTTTAAAAAAATGTACATGCTAGAAAGAAACATTTTGCAGATTCAAATTCAGTTCATGAAGATCTATCAGGCACGTCTATTGAAAATTGCAAAATTTTTGACGTGTTAAACAGTGTAAATTAGATGATTCAATACTTCATAAAAATGCCTTCTTAATCACTTAGACATTCAACGTGATAACTACGCTTGCACAGGTATTGACAGGGACAAGAAAAAGGACGATAGAAAATTTCCAATCTATTAATCACGAGAATCACTATAAAAAGACGACCGCTACACCGAGCTCCTGAGCTGAAATTTTCGCATCGCGGTGTAAAGCTGTTTCGTTCGAGCCGCGAGGGAAATTTCCTCGGTCGAAACGGATGAAACGTTATCGGGCAAAGTGCGAACCGGGGCAGTTTGCGGTCTTCGGTGGCCTCCGAGCGCGAGCAATTTGCGTTTAATTTCCTTTTTGTTTTTTCCTGGCGCGACAAGCGCGCGTGCCGTTGCTTCGCCGGCCAGGATAAACTACTCGCGACACGCCAGATTTACTTAGTCCCCGTGGCATTAAATTCTTTTCGTGGACATCGTCGAACCCGCCGCTCTTTCCATTTACGCCCCCATTCTACGCCACCCTTTTCATTTTCCGCTAACACGCGGTCTTTTTTGAGCCTGTTTGCTCTATTCTCTGAACACCGAACGATTGTTCAGAATAACCATTTGTTAATGTTTCCATTACGCCTTGGAGTGCGGTTACCAAACGAGATTTTAAAAGACGTATCTAACTTATCGATTTGTAAATATAATTTAAACCAGAAGTTGTTCATATTTAGTCATATAAAAAAAGTAGGTGTTTTTTAATGACCACGTTCGAAAGTATGTTTAAAAAAAAGGAAGCATAGGGTTTCAACCGGATTCAGACATCACTGTCCTTACGAACATTATCATTAAAACTACCAGCATTCGATGTGTACTAAATTAAATTTTAAAATGCAGCAATATACCGAATATATACGACAATCTGGTATAATATACCATAAAATGAAATCTGTAGTAAATTAAATGCCAACATTAATTCCGTCAAAAGCATTATTATACTTCCAGTAATCGTAAAATAGTAAATCTGTAATCTGTCATTTTAACGGGTTTGATTACAACACGAGGAACTACTACAAAGGAATCAATGGGCGCGCCTTTCGCGTACGTTTTCTGTGAAAATTGAACCCCGAAATGGATTTTTACGGTATAAACGTGAAAGTTCATTAAATGGATTTTTTCTCGAAACTGTTTGAATATTTTACTTAACATTTTAACAAAAAGAAATCTCTTTTTTTTTCAATTAATACTGACCTCGATAAAAATTACGGCTGCTGCGTTGACAGCGATACTGTTGTAATTCCAAAATACACTCAAAGGCACTAATCACTCTAATAATCACCATCGTTTCCAACAATCCTTTGCCATTTGGAAACCACACTGTTGTAACCCGTGTATGTGCTCGAAGATTCCTCGGCACTGACAAGGAGATATCCGCAAGTGTAACGCTGACTTTTTAACAATGTTTAACACAGTGATAGATCTTGAAATTCCGAAGCCAATGATATTTGTTTCAGCCACATATGACTATTACTTTATAAAATATTTAATATTCAGTGTCGAGGAGTCATCGAACACTTACCCAGGGTTCACTGTACCTTCGACGAACTCCTCGCGATTGCTCGAAACCGACTGATTCAATCGTAACCGATCGCCAGTTAAAAACTGAAGGTGAAAGCATCGTAAACGGACGCGTACCTGGTTCGTGACAGTTCCTGGCCGGAGGGGGGGGGTGGTGGTGTGAATTCGAATGCCTGAAATAGTTTCGACTCCTCTGGATGGGCGGAGGCGTTAAATGCGTTATATCTGGGACGGTTATGGAGTCGGTCTGAGCGAGTTTTAATGACGGGAGGAGGGGGGGGGCGGATGGGAAATTGTTGAAGTTGTAATGAAAAGTCCTCCCGGACCGGATTAAATAACTTCCAAGTACGCGCCGCTTGGTAATTTTTGTCCGGGAGCCGTTAGAGAGAAAGAGAGAGAGGGCTTGTCACGTATTTCCCTTCGGAGCTCCATTTAAATTACGCGCCACCGAGAACAGGGTCCGAAAAAAAAAAAAAGGAAACAAAGAGAGAAGGAGGTGGAACCGCGGCTGGTTCGTTACGTGAAAAATGGCGGAACCTCAAAGCGTTAAACGGACACACTCTGTTTCGCTAGACATAGTTTTGCGCGCGCGTGTCCGCCGCGGGAAGACAAAAATTGGACCGAGTACTACTACGTTCCTGCGAAACACAGCTGGCCAACACGAGCCGGTGATATTAATATTTTGTTTTTTCTTCTCTCACATGTTTCTATCTTTCTTGCTCGACGGAACAGTTTTCATGAAAATGCTCAACACTCGCCGAAGACAAACGACCCGGACCACCGGAATTCTAGCAAATTTCGAGGTTTTAGTCCTAGCGCGGGGGAAGCATCAGCTACTTTTTTGCGACCATTGTTCTGTGATTCTGGTCGCAAGTGGTCCTCGATCTTCGCGCGAGCCGTTTTGCAAATATGAAAAACGTGGATGGGAGTATCAGAAATCAGAGGCGAATGGAAAATTTACCGTTTCGGAGATCCTTGTTTCTTACTCCGTTCGAATGGAAATACGACGGGTGTTTTCGATGTTCTGGGAATTGTGTTATAAAGCAGAATGGTCAGTTTATATATGAACGGTTGGGATTAAATTTTTTGTTGGAGTTCATCGACGACTACAGTGGCGTTTGATAGATCGTCACTTAGTGAACAAAAGTATACATTCCGACAATGTTGTAAAACTTGGGACTCTCGAGATATTGACATTTCTATTCTCCCAAAGGTGAATTTTTATAACTCTCTAATGCATGAACTTATTGATATCAAACTTTTTTTTTTAAATATTATGACATATAGAAATTGAATATAATATAAATTGAGAGTGAACAAAAATTTTCCCAGAGGAAAGGTTTTTACTCTGTTTTTGTTAATAACATTTAAATAAACAACGACTGATGACCTCCGGCAACACGTTGCAAAAATCATCGAGATCGAAGGGTGGTACAATTTTATAAATATTTTCCATAAATTGGTGCATGCCAAGAAATGAAATCTGTTAAATTCCAAGCTTCGTCACGAACCCGTCGTACGAATGGTGAAATGGAATGGCGAATAGTCTGATCCCTGAGGAGTACGCTTACCTTCGGATAATGGATCGAGATCGCGGACGTGTACTGGAACGTGATGCTTCCCGGGTAACCGTAAAACGGTATCGTTATGATCGGTGTATGGGTGTCGTCGAAGTAACCGAAGGCCAGTTTAGTGCCGCTCGGCGAGAACCATAAAGCCTTGTTCGAGCCGAACACCTCCTCTGAAATGAAAAGCAGAAAGGCGACACGTTATTCATAGAATGGCCGCTGATAACTCTGCCATGGTTCCGCGTGGACATTGAACAGAGAAACTTCGATAAGAATCGACCCCTCCTGCTTGCTCCCTTCGCGCCGTGGTTCAACAAACTTCGCGAATAATTCATTCGTAATTCGGCGCCGTTCCACCAGACACGCCGGAACCACTCGGAACGTTCACTCGTGACTCTGTTCTGTTCACCGGAACCAGCCAGATTTCATATCGATACGCGCGAGCATTGATATTCGACGCACTGTAAATATATGAAACAGTAAAAAATGCGTGTAAATCGAAAATATGGAAATTCTTGATAAAATGTCATACACTGCGAACGAACGAAAGGTTCATCGGTGTATGAATATTTTTTTTCTAGTTTTATCGTTGTTGATTTTCACTTGTCCATAGCTTTCATGGTTGTATAAAGTATTTTATTTCGGTTTTATAAAAGTATTATAAAAATTTGTTTATTTAGGTCAATAAAGTTATCGTTATTGTTATGTATTATTTTTTTAACAGATTTCTCTATATATTTTTTAATGGATATTTTGTTGTATGCTTTTTCAGGACATTTTATATTAGTTAGCAGTCTAGTGTATAATAGAAGTTTGTGGTTTTACCACTCAGAACTGTCATCACTATGATAAATGCGTTGTATTGAACTTACTGCTATCATCATTAATGATCTATGTTATGCAGTAACAAGTACTGTATCACATCAGAGACATATTGAACAGAAAACCTGATTCTTATTTTATCATAAATTCTTCTAGATAAATATTTCAGTAATATCCAAACAGAACGGTGGGGGAGACTGGGGTTGAAAGTAACAGGGGTAGGTTCAAACAGGGCTTATAACTTTTTTAATAAAAGAGACAGCGTTATGGCAACAAATAATCAATAAATTACGATAATTATTAAATATGCTAATTAATTGCTCTCATTAAGAAGATAATGTCACGTTGTGTTAATTAAAAGGAGACAATTTATGTTATCTTGAGTATCTATTGATTAAGAAATAATTTAGTGTCGAGCCAATTAAAGGGATCACTATAACGTTATGTTCATTCATTGTAATTATTAGCTAGTTTCAATTATTTCTTATTTGTGGTACAACTTTACCCCAGCGTTGTTACTTTCAACCCCAAGCTGGGGCAAAAACCACCGATCCGGCTAGGTCAATTTTCACGGTCACAACATTTTTACAAATTAATTACAAAACCTTTCATCGCTATAGAACTAATCTTAAATATCCAACTTATCTGTATAAATTAACACTAAATCTCTAGCTAAAACATAAATAAACCAATTAATTGTTACTTTCAATCCCAGTCTCCCCTACTGGTGTTCCTTTGACATTTAAATTGTTTACCACAGAAAGGTATAACATTCATGAACAAATATCGTTCATCGACCGCATTACAGCACACGGAGTAGACCAACCTGTACGGGAGGCTGGACGTTCAAGGAGCTTTAAAGCTAGCTAATTAAGTCGTTTCGCGGAGTATCCCAGTAATTAAAGTATTCCGCGGCGGAATTATATCCGCCGATATAATTCTCGGCCGGTTCTGGTCTCTCGAGCACTTTTCGTCGCCCACTTGCTCGCGAATCGACGTTTCCGCTAAGTGCTCGCCCCGTCGAACTTTAAACACACTATTTACGACACCGGAAGAACGGTGTCCTTTTTCGTCGGGTCTCTTTCGTGGTAAACAAACCCCTCGCCTCGGGTGGCAGCCGCCCTGACGGGCGAACTTCTCCATCCATCCGATAAAATGGCGGGTCTTAATCCGGAATTACGATCCTCGACTGTTGCCCGTGTAATTTCGTTCACGATCTTTAATTGAAGCTGCCCTCTTAAAGTTGTCGACGCGGAGAGAAAACGGTCGCGAGACCTTTGTCCATTGAAAGCGGAATTATAAAAAGGGGTCGTAGTCTCGCCGGTCGGTCCGCAGCGATGAAAACTGAATTCATATTTATTTCTTGTCTCGGAGTGTTTCGAACGATCGAGGATAGAACTTACAGAAATTTTTATGTTCGAAGTTCAGGTGTTGGATATGAAGGTGTGGAGAAGTGGTTCGGTATGATTCGGAAAGTTAAAATGTTTTCTTGGTTGTTTGATTAATAATTGTAATGTTTGATAATTGAACAAGCTGTTGGTTGTGAAATTTTAATGTTACTACCGCGTAAATTATTGATCACGCAAGGTCCACGGGGATTAACGTCGCGTGTAAACTAAGCGATTAGTAATTAGATTGAACATTCAGTTGCTGAATATTTGACTAACTACTGGCTAAATATTGACTGAGTGATAGGCTAAATTTTCGCTAATTAGATAAATCCTGTGATTTTAGGTCGATGCAAGTTGTAGATGCCGACTGAATATGTGAACGAAGTAAATGAATTGACTAGGCGTATGTAAAAAAAAAAACATTCGTCAGTGAGTAAAATCGTATGTTATAAGAAATAAATACTTTGGACGAAATGCAATACGTCAAGCGACTAAATACAAAAAATACAATATTAACCTCATTATGTTAAGGTATTAAATAAAATTACATTAGAATTAAGCTGCTTAATTTTAACATTTTATTGTAACTAATAATCCTGTAACATCAATTGGAGGGTCAAATGCAATATAAGGACCAGCGCTCGAGAATGCGAAAAATATTTTTTTAGAAAAAAGAAACAGCAAAATTGAAGCGTATATAGGTTTTACCTACAGGTATCTGTAGATAATAAGCTCTTGCTCTTAATCAATCTCAAATTCTGTTTCTTTCTATTCTTAGTTTTAAATTAATATGTAAATAATTATTGTAAAATGTGTAATTTTATGCAATCCATATACATGGTTTAAGATACACACAGGTGTCTGATAGGGAGTGTTATGGGCGAAAGTGAGGGGATCTGCCCTCCCTCCACAGAAAAAAATCCTAAAAAATCAGTACAAGAAAATTCACCTAGCTGAGGAAATTTATATTTCTCAAGGTTCACTCGGACAGGATGCTCTCCGCTGACTACAACGGAGCATATTCAGACGTACCTGAAGTCTGATCGTCTGCTAACTGCACTGATCTCTGACTAAATAAGTTTGCGTCGGAGGCTCTGCAGCCTAAGCTGTAAGAGGATCAGTTCAGCAAGCACGAGTGCTTACCCCGAACGTGTAGGCGCGAGGCAAACACGCTTCGAACTGCCTTTTAAATCATCTTTTACAGCCGCCTTGCTTCAACCGTCCCCCATCCCTTTGTATTCGACATAATTTTTACGACGGACTGTTTCCCGTCCAGCCGTTCTGGAAACACGTGGAACGAATGGAAAAACATGTTTCTCACGTTTTTGCGAGCGGGGAAAAAAGCTACTTTTATTCGCAATAAGTTACAACGCTATACACCTTGAAGAACAATTTTTTCTCCGCGCGTGAATTCGCGATGAACTGGTGCGAAACGATTCGCGTACCAGAATCCACGAGAAACAATGGAAAACCAACGAGACCAATGGGACGACTGGCATTGGTTCGTCGTAAAAGCATCGTGAAAATTTTGCAGAATACGAAAGCCCTCGATTGTCTTCATGGAGGATCACTGGAGGATTATTATTTGTAAATAGTAAACTGTATTTATAAAAGAATGTAATAAACGTGTAACAATAATAATACGTTTATATTATACTTACGACATTCACACTGAATGCAATACAGTGAATCATCGATGAGTGGTCGAAGGTTCCTCGGCGCTGACAAGAAAGTTTAACACAGACTTTTTAATGAGGTTTAGCACAGCGATGGAGCTTGGAATTTCGAAGTCAATGATATTTGTTCCACCCGCATACGGCCATTATTTCATAAAATATTTAATGTTCAATGCAGTCTTCCAATACTCATCGAGGATTTACTATACGTACTTCAAGCTCTCGAGGATCGATCCCCGCAGAAACGTAGAATTTCCATAAACCCGCGAAATTTATTTAATCCCTTTATTCAACGTGTACAATCTAACCAGGGCCACGAACCAACCAACACAAAACCTCCGTCGTTCCCGGTCCTAGAAAATGGATGTCCCGCGGCGCAGCAGCAGGACGTAAATACCGGACGCTCGAAGAGAGGGTTGGTGGGAGAGGGGGAAGGGGGTTGGGGAAGCGAGGGCACCGGGGGGGTTTGGCATATTTCGCGGATGTCAGGCCCTAGGCGGACCTTGTAGAGGGTAAATTTTCCTTCGACCCGCGCTACGAGTACCGGAAGAGGAAAAGTCGCCGGCGGAGAAATAGTAGGGGGTGTGTGTGGGGGGGGGGGGGGGGATGATGGGGGAGGGCACGAGGAGAGGACACAGGGACCTGAACGAGTCGGAGGTCGGCAAACACAAAAGAAAAGGGACCAAAAAGAGCGTGGGAAGGACGGGGGGTGGGGGTAGGGGGTGGAACTGCCGGATGGGATGGGACGTTGCACAAAGACACGGCGCTGCGTTGCGCAGCTAGCTGGACGTGACGAGGGAGAGAAATATCCCGAGGGTGAAATTCACCGTTGGGGACAAAAGGGGGTGGGTAGCGAAGGTGAGCGCAAAAGGGTGGCGTCTCTCCGTGGAGAAGAAAATCTCGGAGACGGCGCAATTCCCTTTACGTTCGGCTAATTATTTATCCGTGGATCGTCGGTGTCGCCCGGAATTATTTATACAGAAAGTCGATACGGTTCGAGGGGTTGCGGTCGTACCACCGCGGTTTTGGCCACGGTTTGAACATGGATGAGTACTCTGTGCTCATACATACAGTTCTCACCCCTAACCCTCTGTATGGCGGCGGGCCTGCTTCGGTGGACCATTGTACAGGGAACGATTGATTTCGAAAAGTGAAGCCACAGGAAGCTTTTTCAGGGTGTAGGCGAAGATCAACAGCCCAGTTCGGTCGCTTTGGAATCGTTTTCACCGGGTACTTTTGATGAATATTTGACGAGTGCTATTAATATTTAGGGAGATTCTGGTT